ATAATGTTGGTGAATTTTGATTCGTCCGTCCATATTATTTTTTTACAAATATTTCCAACTTCCCTATTTCTACGTCTTAAATGAATTCAGATGCTATTTGATCATACCAAATTATACAACAATCGAATTGATATCAAAAACCGATATTTTATTTACTTCCAGGATTGAGAATTATAAAAATATTACGAATTATAATGGATTAGGGAGAAATAAGCCTTGAAAGACGAATTATGGCAAAACAAAAATTTTCAAAACAAAAAAGTCAATTTAAAAAATAAGTAACGACAGGACCGTAATTTGAAATTGTTGTCACTGATAATAATAATAATAGAATTTATTCATCAATCAAAGGTTATACAAGGCATTATACATACACATACATACCACTTATCAAACTAGTCAAGAAAGAAAAGAAGGTAATCTACAAATAAGTTATTAATCGCAAACAAACCAGAAAAATTGTACATACATGGTAGTTATTTCAAATGAAACGCTATGAAAATATCAAATGTGATATACCCATGGATTGTGAATTTACTGCTTTATCAATATCTGTAAAAAAAAGACAGGTCCGTATTTAAAAAAAAAGTTGATGGTGGCCATGTTGACACGAAACTTTTTATCGAAAATTTATTATCACAAATTCATAGTAGACTTCGTAGACAATTCCAATAGAAAAAAACGAAACACAACATTTTAGGTTTTCCCCGCATAACTCGAGAAAGGCGAGAATCCTCGTAAATTTTCTTCGACCATTGTATTGTTCCCGATGACAGTTACCTTTTATCTCATTTAATCATCTTCATATCTGTTACGGTTTACAATGTAGCAATGTTACCACATGATAAAAGAAACGGCCTGTAGATTAATGGCTATTAACAAACTGAGCAGGGTGCAAACCTACTCGTTTGGGGATAAATAATGCAATGGAAATTACACCAACAGCAGCATTGGAAACATTCTCGAATCTTCCTCCTTTTCATCTATTAATAATGTGGTAGGCATGAAAGTCAGGAGCTAATTTCGACGGGCATTCTAGTGCCAGGGCATAGGTAATGAAAAAGCTGATAAGTGTGCTAGGCATTGATCATCAACTCAATGTTATATAAGTCCTAAACCAGCTAGGTGGGGGTACCAAAATCTTTGGTATGGGTCTATAAGAAACATGTAGAGTATTGGAAAAATATACCTGGACACGCACACTGGAAAATCTTTAATAAAGGACCTCCCAGAATATAAAAACTGCTTCTAAAAAACAGAGATCAGCTTACGATAGTTATAGGGCTACCCACTGGATGCAATCAATGGATAACCCACATTTTGTCCAGAAGAATATGACAAACATACAGTGCATTTCTCTAATGTCCCTCCCTCTTCATTTTTTGAACGGGTCAACTCAAAAAATTGAAATTTGGGATACTGAAATTAATGCATGAATACTTTATTTTCAAGTGAAATTGACAGATTAAACTTTCAAGATGGCGGCTGGCCGCCATTTGGGAAAAAAATTAAATGAAAAAAGGGATCTTGTGACACATCATTTTGAAGCTCCTGACAAATACTTCACAACCCTAGAAGATGAAGTCAATATCTTCACCTACTACAAAAAGGCGGAATATTTAATAATTTCCTGAAGACAAACACATTAATATCGATATTTCTAGAAATATTCCTTTTTATCTGTCATATGGCAATTCCAACAACCCGATAAGGTTTGTTAAGTTATTTTTTGTTTATAAAAAGTACAAAAAATGTCAGTACGACAATGAACATCATTGTTCAGTTAGAATATTCCCATTTAGTTTTCGGTTTCACTATTAGAAAGGTACCACGTCAACAACTTCTAAAATGGTCAATTCTCATCCATAGGAATAAAAAAATTTATGCAATTTTTATTTACGGTTGTTAGTTGTTGAGATGGTAGTAAATCCTGAACAGTCTACTTATTCCGTCGCGAATGTTTGTGAGGTGTCTCCTTCTACTGTGTGGAGACTTTTGAAGAGGAATAGGTATCATCCAAATATATGAATGGAAAGCCCACAATTGTGAGAAACAAAAATTTTAGTCATGTAAGAAAAAACCAGTAAATAACCCTGATATACAGTTGAACAGTGATATCATATACCTCAATGCACAAATCCTACTGAAACATAAAGATGAAATTCAGGAAAGTATTGTTTGTTATGATCCAAAAGTAATTTTATTAAGTGAAACCAAAACATCTGAGGATATTGAAGATGTGGAACTTATAATGGACAATTATACTTGCATCAGCTGTGATTCAAAAAATAGACATACTGGTGGCGTTGCCATGTACATAAATAAAATATTCGAATTTTCTATTTTTAAGAAGTTCATACTGGAGTCGAACTACTGGTGTAAAATTGTTAAGATTAACTTCAAATCTTCAATATGGTTGATCAGATGTTTATATCATTCACCTTCTAGTCCTCATGCAACTTTTTTAGAAGATTTCGAGGATGTTTGCGAGAAGCTTGTGTCATCTAACAATCGTTTTATTCTAGTAGGTGATTTTAATTTAAACTTATTAGAAGAAAGTTTCTATACAAAAAAAAACAAGAATATTTTCACAACCTATGGTATAAATCAAACATTAACTGAGCCTACTTAGAAAGACACTAGATACACAATCATTAATAGATTTAGTTTTGACTAATAACGATAATATAATTTCAAATGTTCATTTAACGCCAAAAATAACTGACCACTCAATTATTTCTGTCAATTCTGTGATAATAATTTGAGTATAATTAAGAATACGCTCATTTCTTGTAATTGGTCTTTAAACTGTATAAAAGTTAATTTACTTTATGAAGAATTTCTCGAAAAATGTTCAAATATTGTCAATAGTATTTCTCCCATACAAAACAATATTCCTTGGTTTGACAATGAAGTTTTTATCGAAATTAAGAAACGGTATGAAGCCTATAAAATATTTGTGTGAATGTGAATTTTAAAAAATTGAGAAACGATGTGGTTAACTCATTGAAAATAAAAAAAGTTCAGTATTATCATAACAAAATAGATAGATACAAGAATAATTCTCATTTGATGTGGAAAACCTTAAAAACCCTTGTTAATAGTAATGATCACACATTTCCTAACCTAATCCAATTTGAAGATGAAGGCGTAGTAAGTACTAAAAAAAGTGAACCTGACATGGCCGAAACTTTCAACCTATACTTTGTAAACAGCATCCAACATATAGTCCAAGGTATTGAGAATTCCGGTTCAATTTTTGTTTTAGTGACGAATGTACATTTTTTAAACGGCAATGTTCACAGACAAAATTGCCGTTATTGGAGTGACATCAACCCTCACGTTTTTCGGGAAACACATACCCAATATCCAGAAAAAATTAACGTTTGGGTAGGAATATTGGGAAACCATATTGAAGGACCTCTATTTATTGATCAAAATTCAACAGCGGAACTGTATTTGAATATGCTGGAAACTATTGTTGACCCTTTCATCACTGAAATCGTCGAAGCGAATCCTAATGAATTCGATATGGATATTGTATCCCAACAAGATGGAGCACCACCACATTACTCCAGACAAGTAAGAAACTATTTGGATACCTTTTCCCGGTCGTTGGATTGGCCGTCGAGGTGCTACAGAATGGCCAGCCCGCTCGCCAGATTTGACACCTTTGGACTTTTTTTATGGGGCTATCTGAAGCAAAAGGTGTACGAAACTGAACCTGCTTCAATATTGGATATACGGCAGAGAATAAAAAATATTTGTAGAGATATTGACGTTACTGTGTTCGAAAATGTTTGACGTGAAATATGGGATAGGCTGTTCATATGTCAAGAAGTTCAAGGCAACCACTTCGAGCATCTTCTGAAGTGACCTCAAGCTTGTTACCTCATATATGTAGTGTAGCAATTAAATTTTCGCTACTTTACTTTGTTAATTTTATAAGTTTTTCTGTAGAGACCTATGGTGGTATAGTTGCTTGCCTACCATCGATTCGGACAATTCTCTTAGATCAGATGTCCAACTTTCGGGGCGACCCGAGTTCGTTCGTTTTCGTGTTGGCGTGGTCCTAGATGGCTAACGATGCCAAGAGGCAGTGTAGACACCTCGGTTTCTGACCGAATGTAGCTGAACGCGTTGGGATTTTTACCCATTCAGTCTGGGTGAGTGGCGTGGAACGTGTCAACAATGGCAGTTTGCACTGTCATTATTTGGTTGCTCAACTTTCCAAGTAAGTACTCTTTGACTAGATATTATAAAAAGTTGTAGTGGCGCCCCTCTCATTTTCCTTTGACCTTTAAATTACTGAAATTTTGCTCGAACCCATAGTGCCAACGAACCCATAGTGCCTACCGACGAAGAGCTGCCGTCTGCGTTGTACCATTTAGATAAATTTTTGAAAATTTCCCTTTTGAGTGAAAGTTTGGTACAGTCAATGTATTCAGGCAATTATTAAAAGTTCCGCCATTTTGCAGTAGTTGAAGATATTGACATTATATTCTAGGGTTGTGCAGCACTTGTTAGGAGCTTCAAAAAGTTGTTTCACAAGACCTCCCTTTCCATTTAATTGTTTTTCAGATGGCCCCCAGTCGCCATCTTGAAAGTTTCATCTGTAAATTTCACTTCAAAATAAAGTATTCATGCATTAATTTCATTATCCCAAATTTCAATTTTTTGAGTTGACCCGGTCAAAAAATAAAAGGGGGGGGGACATTAAAAAAATGCACTGTATAAGGGACCAGTATAAGCTAGGACAGGGAACACGATTGTTGGAATGACTGTCATGAAAGAGATAGGTAAAAACGCAATAAGGCTATGCGGTTGCAATAATAAAGTGACCAGAAATGACCTTCTTTAACGCCTACTTCAGTTTGGACCATGACTGAGAGACATTCCTTATAGTTGAAATAAATTGAAAATTTCAGTTCAATTTACATTGCAAAACCGATACGAAAATGGTCGTAATTTTTGACTTATTGAAAAGTGTACAAACTCACTTCTTTTTGCGTTTGCTTCATAACAGCATTTCCTCATAACGTAACCCTTCTTGTATTCTACTGCATTATGGGATGAAGGAACGTCTAAGAATGGATTTCCACCTAAACTGATCACCTCGTTGTTCTTCACCTGCGACTGTACATTATTTTCTTCGGTGTCCTCATCCCTATCAAAAGTTGAATTAATACATTATTAAGACATGCTAGAGGGTCAAATGGTAAACTGTTGATTGCATGAGTCATTAGGTCATTTATTTCAATTGAAAATATAATAATTTGTTACTGCTAAATATCTAATCTAGGTTAAAGTAGACATTTATATTACTTACAACGCCCATTCAAGAGGATAATTTTTGATTGCGTGGTATAGTTGTTTTAAAACTTCTCTTGGAAAATTCTCGCACTCATTCAATCCAGCCAAGTTTTCTATAAACTCATTACATGTCATTTTTCTACCGATATTTTGTCCATGTAAGTCTGTATTGAGCAACATGATGGCACACGTTAATGTGTGCACAGCATCTTAAAAAAAAATAAAAAAAATTAACACTCTCCATAAGAAATTGTAATTATCGCCATTCATAAATATATTCCTACTGAAGACTGGTTAAAATGAAAGATTTGCATCTGGTAATAGTGCTATTGATTTCTTATGAGAAATGAGAACTATTACCTATTAGTATCTAATATTATTCGGGGTGTGGACTGACACACTGAAATGAAAGAAAAATGTTTTTTCGAACTAAATTTTGTTGTGAGTGCAGCCTTATCTGTTGAAATCTGTTTTTCCATTATCAAGAAATAAAATTTCTACTGGTTTCTTACTTCTTAATCATTAAAAAAAAATGGGAAACTTCCAAAGGAAGAAAAACTGCAATGAAACTTTTTATAACCATATGTAGATCATTCACAAAAGTTTCAAATAAAGACTAAAAGAAGAAACACCTTTGAAAAAACTACTTTCACATAAACATTTAATTTACGTGAAAGTAGTTATTTGAAATGGGCTTTTTCTTCTACTTCGCATCTGAAAGTAACATTGATATTCATAGTAGTAGTAGTATTTATTGGCCATATTTACATACAGAGTACAATTGGCAGGTCAAATAAGCCGCTGTCAGTCATGAGAATTTTTTGAAACTGTTACATTAATAAAGAAACATATTGACAGATTTGGGTCACCCCAAGTTCATTACACTACTAGACAAGACAATAATATTAAACTTCCGAGACCGACTTCCACTTTATTTAAAGATTCATTCATTTACAATGGATGCAAAATATTCAATCATTTACCTGATGAAATTAAAGACATT